TCATCAATCCTAAAAGAAAGATGAATGGAATTAGAAAAAAACACTTGATATTTCTTTTGAACACTGTATGCAGTTGAAAGAGTTGAAATACATTACATATTATATACGTAAGTATATGTGTGAAATAATTCAGGTTGTCAGGTATCTCAAGAGGCCACCCAGCCCCATGCTGAAGTCAGATCTGTTTTCTCTTCTTGTAAAATGTGACCTTCTCCTGCCTCATTTCATGACCACCAGTTTCAATTTGTGACCATTGGCTTCAAGGGGGATTGCAGGCACTGAACCATACCCACCAGCACCTTGCTAGGAGCATTCTGAATAAGCACACAGCATGGTTTCACAGCACCACATCCTGCTTTTCAGCACGGGCATCACTGCTCTTGGTCGAACAAGCACAAAAGGGAATATCGGAGAAATTACTTATTGTTCTACTCAAGTTGGATACTGGGGACATTTATTGGCACAGGCTGCCCAGAGGGGTGATGGAGTCACTGTCCTGGAGGTGTTCAAGAAAAGTGGAGATGTGTGGCACTGAGGGATGTGGTTAATGGACGTGGTGAGATAGGTTGGGGTTGGACTCAGGGATCTCAGAGGTCGTTACCAAGCTTAAAGATTCTGTGATTCTATTTGTCATGAAGTCCTGAAGGAAGACTTCCATGAGGTGTATGGAAGTAGGTCAGGACAAGCTATGTGGCTCCAATTTTGCCTCTCCAAATGGAAACCATATTTTTGTGTGTATGTGTGCATGCATATTTTTACTGTTTTTGGTGGTGGTCTTTTTTGGGGGATTATTTTTGTGGGTTTGTATTGTATTGTTTTTTATGTTTCTTCACATAGAGTTTTAGGCATGGCAGTATTAAAGCCTAGGGTCCATGTAGAAAGAGCACAGGCACATTTTAATATTTCCCATGATTTTACCTTTCATCCACTGCAGGCAGCAAGGAAACAATACAACACTGCCACTGAACCAATTTGTGTAAAAGTTATCATGAAATAGCAGATGCCATTATGGCATATTTCACAGATTCTGAGGCAAACTTTGGAAAAAGTCACGAATTCCAAAGAAACAATGAAACAGAGGTCATATAATCATATGAATCCAGCAGCTAGCATCATGATTATTACTTTTTTTGTTTGGAGGAAAGTGAAAGTTGTATAATAAGGGATGAGAATGGACTAATCAGTGCAAGAAGCAAAAGCTATTTACTACATAGTGGCCTCTCGGGCGCACTAAAAAGAATGGCAGAAAATGTATGCATGGGTAAAGACAAATAGATCGATGGAAACTTGCGTCTCAAAATAGGAATATTCACATGAGATGCTCTCCATTATGTGGACACTGTCTATCAGCAAAAATGTGTATTGAAAATACGTGAGTTATATCCTTTCATTGTCACAGCCACTGAAAATACGTGAATAGACATCCAGCAACAAAAGCAGAGAAGGCACAAGCTAAGTTATTGTGTTACCTCAGAAATGAACTAGTTATGAGGGGAAGCTCTCACAACAGATCCCATTTAATAAATGACATGACAAAAGGATGTGCTCCCAGACCAGAATGTGCATCCACTGCCCCACCTTGAATATCTCAGCCAAGGCTTGGCTGCTGGGGTTACTTTTCTCAGCAAGGTGGGACTCTGATATCCCATTCCTATGCTGCTTATATTATAGGTATCTACACCCCCATCGCCCATCAGTCATTCTCCATTTGTCCGATGAGATGAGATGATTCTCATAGACTTGTCTCCCCTGCTACTCCACGCATTTACTGTGCCACACACAAAAACCTCCTGTAAGGCTCCTTACTGCTGCTCTGTTCCTTTATTCCAGAGCAGCCAAGGACCATGAGCCATGGCTTCAAGCTTGGGGAAAAGCTTTGCTTCAGCACACCCGTAGAGAAACCCAGAAAGCTACAGCAGTGTATTTAGGGCTGACAAACCACAGCTTTTCCATGCTCAGCAGCCGTAGGATGGGAAGACCTTACTGTCATGTTGAGCAGCAGGAGAGCAGCTCCTCCAGAACGATGCCATCTGTGAGGTCGTTTTCAACTGAGACCTCCTGGGAGGAGTGATGCACAAAAGAAGAGAGGATTTCCTCAGCTGCTGTGATCAGGTTTCCTTCCTCCAAATACTCGAAAGGAATGGGTTTGCTAAAGCGTGCTCTGCCAATTTTCTATTCTTCATTACCTCGCCTACAGCAGAGGTCGGCATTATCTTATCTGCTTCTCAGTGCATTGCAAGGCCAACTGAAGAATCAGCACATATTTTGCTCAGTCCTTGCTGTTCCCTTTGGATGTATTCCTGCAGAAAAGCTTAAGGACCATAATACAGGGACATAATCCCAGGGAGAAGGAACACGGAGTGCAAGGAAGCACAGCCCAAATCCTGTGAATAAAGCAGTAATGGAGAAGTAGAGGAGGAGTAGGAGGGAAGGTACGGTCAAGTGTTCAGTGTGTCAGGACACTGCCCTGTCAGCTTCTGCTTTCCTACATGGGGCAAGCAGCTTTGTTCAGGGGATGCACTGCACACAACACATACATTACCTCCAAGGGACAGTTGCACAACCTTTTTCAGCATCTTATTGCATCGTACTGCACTGATGCAGCTTTCTGCTGCAAAACTGCTCCCAGGTGCATGAAAGTGAGGAGTACACAGAGAACTGGAATTCTTCAGCATGATGACGCATTACAGAACTGTTCTGGGACTTACACCTCTGCTTCCTGGGAGGAAAGAAATCAATTTTCAGTGACGACGCTTTTCTTTTTCCAGCTGGTAATGCAGCAGAATGGATGGGCTGTCACTGAGCCTGTGTGCAAAGTTGCAACAGGTCGCTGATGATTAAACACAACGTTCCTCCAGAATTGCAGGTTCTGATTCTGCCCGGAGGCAGCTAACAGACCTTTACAGCATGCTCCCTGTGGAAAGATCTACTCAGCATTTAAGCAGGCACTTTTTGCTGCCTTTTGTCTCTAGAGGCAAAGTCTGAAAAGAAAACGAAGCTTCTGAGTCTCTTTTGAGTTCTGCTGCCCAGATTTCCATACCATGAGGGACTGCCTGGAGTTGGTGACGCCAGAACACCTTCCTGTGCCTCCAGCACTTCCTCTGATGCATTTTTATGTGTCAGGTGCAGAAGGCAACACTGGGAAGATGTTGTCTCCTGGATCACCTGCATCTGCTTTGCATAACTGACTGAAGTGTTTTACTGCCCCATTTCTCAATCTCTACAGTGTTTGCCAATGAGAATTGCTGTCAGACTGTAGCACCTCATCTGTTTCTAGCTGACTCCAACCTGATTTAGCAGAACCAGGATTTATTTAGCAGACAGGGAAAGTTTTGTCTTTCTAGAAATTGTATAGAAAAAGATGCCATGAGAGAACAGCCCCATTTCCCAGAGATGCTGCCCAGAGCTCCCCTCTCACCTGACAACAAGAGCTGCTGTTTTGAGTTCCTGCAGGTGTTTTCAACCTGCTACTTAGGCTTTGGAGATTTGCTTCTGGCTGGTGCTTATTGCATTATTGGTAAGCATATCTTTGCTTTCCCTCCGGATTTTAGCATCTTTTTCTCTCTTTCTATCCATTTTCCATACTTTCTCACACATGGTTTTGCTTTAGTTCTCTCTTCCCCTAGCAACTTTTTTGATACGTTCCAAAAACTTACAGCAGCCTCTGCTGAGGTCTGCCCACAGAGCAGAAGGAAAGGAACAGTCTGATTGGTATCCAGTCCAAAACAGCCATAGGCAACAACTGACATGAAATGCAACCTTCCTACTTAGGCATCTAAGGAGAGCACAGTCCAGGTGTTGGAAATGGCTATGGAACATGAGTGAGTTGGACCCATTTGCTGGGAGACCCACAAGCAGCAGAGGCATAAAATACTCCTAAAAACAGACCCAAATCCAGCTGGCAAACCAAACCATCATAAAGTCTGCTTCAGCCCCAGCCTATCTACAGAACAGGCAGCACTGCTCTCAGACAGACAGCTGCCTGGGAGCTGTTTGCATGGCTGACTGCTGGGCTGCTGAGCCCCCAACCAGGGCAGACTGGTGGCAGATCGGTGGGAAGGGATGAGCCAGAATGGCCTGAGAGTAAAGTGCAGCTTAGTCCCGTGCCAACTCGAGTGCCCACAGCTCTGCCCAGGCAGCACTCCAGCCACCAGCCCCTTTGCAGCCCCTCATTACCCAGCAGTGCACGGATGTCATCTCCTCTTCCAACAGTCTACTTTTTGATTCTATTTAACTCTGATGCTGTCTGCAAGCCAAGCTGCCACTCGGGTGGCAGCCAGGAGCCATGAGCTGATCAGCGTCTGTTCCTGCAAGATCCTCAGGCTGCCCAGCTTGCTCCTGCTCCCTGCCATCATCAGAACACAGCCTGATTTCTTTCCTTTTTCTATATTTTTTTTCTTTCCTCTAACACAACACCATGAAGACACCCAGCTGCTGACCACACTGCACAGCTAACTAAGATTTATGATCCACAACCATCAGGAATAAGCAGAAAAATTTCCCTTCAGTTTGATCAGAAGCCAGAATTTCATCAAGACTACAAACACCCAGGGAGATACAACCAACTGATGGACATTGCTCAGACCATCCCCAAATGCGCGCCTCTGTGCTGGCCTTTTTCCAGCCCTGTCTTCTTGCTTCAGCTGGCTAAAATTCACTGACCATAGCAAGAGACCCCCAGGTCCCCTCCGTTGCTCAACTTGGTCTGACAGCATGCACCCTCCAGGATCCTCATGTAAGATGGGTGCTGGACCTGCTGCCAGCCCCTTGCTCAGCCCCCACATCACCCCACACCATGCTGGGAAGCAGCACAAGAAGGGCTCCAGCAAGAAAACTGAAACTCAACAGGCTGCCTGCTTCTTCTCAGCTATGCCACAACCTGTGCTCATCATACTGTGCCCACACAACACAGCCAGTGACATCCAGGGCTATCCTGGTCCTGCACCACCACCATCCACATGCCCGGAGTGGAGAAAAGCAGAGCATCTGCTCATACTCACAGTTTTGAAGTCCTCATGGTTACATTCTTGGCCTTTGAATTTGCAGTAAAGCATCATATCCTTCAGGTCGTGGCCAACCCGTGCCAGGAACTCCTGCATGTTGAAAACTTTAGGTTTATACTGCTTAAAGTTGGCTTTCTCTTGGAGGATGGCTAAGACAGCCGGGTCAGCCAGGTGAGGGTTGGGGATCTGCAGGTTGACGTCGAGCAGAGCCAGCAGCTCCCCAGCATGGTACAGATCATTGGTGGTCAGCCGGGAAAAGCGGAACTCATTGAGGTTACAGATGGTGACGGCAGGGAACACCAGGCTGTTTGCCACCACCTCATCCACTTTGGTGACATGCTGGTAGGAGAAGTAGAAAGTCACCCGGTCCGAGCTCTCCACCAGGAGGAGCCCCAGAGAGCCCACAAAAGCCAAGGTCCAGAGCAGGCGCCGGATGGTCACTGGCCCATAGACGAAGACATGACGGATCCCGTGGAGTGTGGAGGTGTTGGCAAAAATCTGGATGCTGGAAGGCTGCAGGCTCCCCATGCTGCCCTCGCTGGTGCTGTCCTTCAGATCCATTGGGAGTAGCTGGTGAAATCCTTGCACTGCTTTTTGGGTCAGACTGTAGCAAGAACTGGGATCCTTCCCCTCCCCTCTGGAAAGTAATTAGAGCCTTTTAGAGGAGAGAGAGCAAAGACAGTCTCAGACCAGCTGCCACAAGCTTATCCCACCAGCTCAGCAATAGCTTCGTAGAGGTAAATATTTATACAAACATCCATTCAAACTCTAGCTCTTGATTTCGTCGGTGTGATAAGAAGGGCTGGTTTTATTTAGGGAGACACCAAGGTGATGTGGAAGAGATGTGGGTGGGAAGCGAAAGCTGAGCCAATGGAAATAAAGTCCTCCCCCTACACACGCACACACACACACACACACACACACCGAACAAGATGAGGTTAAGCGAGAGGGAGAGCTTGAAACAAGCGGAGCAGCTCGCAGCCTGTTAACTGGTGCGTGAAGCCAACGATGCCGCTACCCAGAGCTGATGGCTGGCAGTGAGGCTTCCAGACTCATCCTTCCCGTGCTCCGAAGGTGCTGCCGGATTTGGGCATCTCTTCTCCTCCCCGCCCTGCTGTTTTGGGCAGGGCTTTAGGAAATAGCCCCCTCCCTAAAACCCCGCCGGTGTTATTTTGCTAGAGTTTCTCTCAGGGAAAGCCGGGCAGCAAATTCAGCAGGAAAATGCAAGAGAAGTAAAGGAGGAAAAAAGGGAAGGAGGGAAAAGGATTTATAAAAAAATGAAAAAGGGGGGAAAAAAATGCTTCTCAGCTCCATGCATGCGCATAGAAATAAAAAGCAATAGCATGAAGCCTCTCTGCCGTGCAGCAGTTCTGGAGAAAAAAAAAAATTAAGACAGAAAAGGAGGAAGCGGGAGAGGTAGTGGGGGAGAGGGGCTGCTGTGACTCTCCTTCCTTCTCTCTGTCTCAGCCTCCCTGCACTTCAGGACTCCAGCAGGCGAAGCACCGAGAGCTGTGAGTCACGCATCGATCCGAGCCCCACAGCGGGCGAGAGCAGCACTGCCAGATGTTTGGTGCTGCTGGAAGGCAGCTGCGATGGATGCTGTAGGGAAGGTGCTCCCAGCTGTGTCTTCAGATGGGAGGTTTGGAGGGGTGGGGATGTTGGGGAGGCAAACTGGGAAAGGTTTCCTAGCCAAGAGATGCTGCAAAATCCTGCACACTGAAGCCTCCAGATGTGACAGCATCCTTAGCACACGCTGCAGGAGGTGGAAGGAGCAAGGTGTAGCCCTGGGTCTGAGAAGGGTCAGGAGTAGCTCCTCTCCACACTGACTCTGTGTACAGCAGTATTTTTATCTGTTTTATCTCAGATGTAGAAGGAAAAAATACTTTCTGTCTCCATATAGTGCTATGGCAGGTGAGGGTCCCTGGGGCCATGGTGGCATGGATGTGACAGTCAGCTGAGAGCAGAGGCTCAAGGAACAGCCACAGGCTGTCACAGTCTGTGGTGTGATGCCCAGAGACTATCAGCCTCCTGTGAATTTACCTCCAGAACAGACCCAAAGATTATCTTGGGCAAAGTGAGCCTGATTTTTATCTTGTGCTGTTATCCAGCCATGCAATCTCCCAGCCTACGGCATCCTATGTGAATATCTCTCAGGCTGAACTACTCAACCCAGCACTGCTATATGGCTATGCAGTGCTGCTCTCTCTCTTCTACACCAGAGAAACTGAGGCAAAGAGAAGCCAAAGGACATGTGAGCAGTCACACAGTTTGCACTGCAGCCATGAGCTGAAGACACCACTTTGTCTCTGGGTTGCTGGAATTCTGACACCTTAGAAGCCTCCTGCACCTTGTCTTGTGCTTTCCAGATGGGGTGGACAGCACTGAGCAGAGCCAAGCGAGGTGTGAAGCAGAATGAAAGCAACTCAGGAAAGTTGTTGCAGCTCCAGAGCTCCTGCACTCAGCATCTCTCCAGAGCAGAGATAAGACCGTTTCCCCCCGTTTAAAAAATGCCTGGCAGGAATAGGCTCCTATTCCCACCCATCACCATCCCAGCTCCAAATCTGTCTCCTCTTCCACCGCCTGTGCTGTTTGGCCTGATGCATTAATGCTTTCATCTATTCACCATGCACACTGCCTTTACAGTGCTGTTTTCTGTAACTCATACCATATACCATCTGCTGCCTTTTATTAGTTGACTGTGTATAGCACTGCGGGTGCAGTCTGGAGGAAGAAGCAGCATCCCCAGCAGTGCTGCACAGCACCAGAAATGCTCGTGGGTTTCTGCACTGGGGCTGGAGATGGACCGTGGAGACAAATGCTGCCCAGTAGTGCCATGCGGGCAGCCTGCAGTCTGGTTGTCACCACAGTGGCCAGGATGTCCCCAGGACAGGGAAAGGCAGCTTTGATCACACCTGGAGCTGTGCTTGGGGGTGACACCAGCAGGGCTGGGGACACAGGTTGGAAGGGATGGCAAGGGGAGTTGGGACCACAGAGATGTAGTAATGGAGGGAGCAGTAAGAGCAGGGTGACAAGGGATGCAGGGAACAGAGCCTGACCCTGTCTCATTGCACAGCCTGTGCCTGCCCTCTTGTGTCTCAAGAACATGCTGCAGTGCACAGAGCCCTGAAACAGATGGGAAGTGGGTTTACTGGGGAAGAAAAAGAGGCAAAGGGAGGTCCCAGACTTTGGGAGCCCCTCCACTTTCCCAGCCCCGCTAAGAAGCATGTGCCAAGTGAGCAATTTGCATTGGTAAAGCCTGAACTGCTCTGAGCCCAAATTGACAGCTGGAACAAGGGCTTTGCTGAAGGTGATTGTGGTCCTATAAGTCTCACTCTGTTCCTCAACCTTTCCCCAAAATTTTGGACCCCCTTATCACCTAACAGCATATTGCCAATAGCTCCAAGCTATTGGGAACACACAGCTCCACTTAGCTGAGAGACCTTGGCTGATTAAAATAGTCCTCCTTTCCAAATGGGAACATAATGTGGAATGCTGATGTTTCCCCTGAAATTAAATCTGATCCCTTCCAAGGTATCTTTGGCTGGGCTAAAAGGCTTTTTACTACATATAGAAAATTAAAAAAAACATGATTGGATTTTGATGTATTTAATATTATGCTTGGATTTTTAATAGGTTATAAAATGAAAGCCATTAAAGAGTATAAAAACTCTCCCTGAAAGAAAACATGAAATATTCAAATGGCTGCATGTAGTGGCTGGAAAGCCAAACGAAGGATAAGGATCTGGGGGTGTGGGTCGATGCTTGGCTGCACACGAGCCAGCAATGTGTCCAGGAGGCCAAGAAGGCCAATGGCATCCTGGTTGTGTCAGTAATCGAGCAGTCAGCAGAGTTGGTCCAGAGGCAGGAGGTCTTCCCTGATGGGAAGCAGTGGGGCTGCAGCCTTCTATCTTTGTATAGCAACTTCCTAGGCCAGCAGCCCAGACCCACTACAGCCAGGCAAGGGCTCAGCAGTCTGCTGTGGAGATGTGGAAATATTTCAGATATTCTAGTTTTGTTGGGCCCAGCAAAGAGATCTCAAAAGCACCTTCTGCTGGACCTAAGTTCTATTTTCCTTTTGTTTCCATCTCAAGTACATGAATATAAATGAGCCCCAGTCTATCCATGCTGGTCTGCTGGGACTCTGGACCCAGAAGTCTGATCAAATTAACTTGAAGCATTTTAGCACACGAGTGTGTTGGGCTCTGCTCATTTAAATTTTACGTAAATTCAAGCACCGAATCATAATGTGGCAAACAAGCATCAAGAAAGCTAGGAAAGGAAAGTCTAGATTTACCAGTAACCAGCAAAAGCCGGCAGCTGCCTCTGAGATTCACAGTCTCATTCTGGGAGTCGGATGAGAGCTTTGTGAGAAGAAAAGGAAATCCGGGTCCCCACGAGCACACGAGGGGTGTGCAGACCTGCCTCTGAACTCTGCGGGCAGGGCAAAGATTGGAGGAGATGGATGTGATCGGTGACACTGCCATGTTTGCTACCAGCCCTGGGAGGTCAGAGCAGCGCGCAGGCTCTGAGCTCTGTGTGTGTCTGAGCCACAGCTGCTTATATTTTGATCGTGCTACCAGGTTTGTTCAATTCTGTTTAATCTTTTGGACAATGGGCTTGTGAGTCATCAGGGCTGGCAAGCGGGGGACAGAGACCTTTCTCCTGCTCAGTCTGTTTGCCACATGCACGCTGTGTGTGTGGTGCTGCAGCTGGAGCTGAGGACCTCAGAGCACAGCAGCTCATAGTGAGGCCATGCTGCTTTGGTGGGTACCAGTGCTTGCTCGCTGGTGCTTCATTTGCTCTTTGTTAGATTTAGACCCATCACTGGGTTATTGGAGTATGGATCTGCACAGGGATGTGACCTTTGCAATTTTTCTGTGCCGGGCTGTATGATACAACAGATGAGAAGCATCAACTTGTCAGTTCAGCCGCCAGGTATCAAACTGACTGACAGCCTGGGGAAGCTGCAGCTACACCGAATTGTCCCTAGAGAGTGCTTTGATGGGTTCTTTTGCTGCAGGCATTTGTGTAAGGAGTGGGCACCTACATTTGTACTCCTGTGTTGGACAGTGGCACAAAAAGGCCGGAATGTGTGGAGCAGAAAGTGAGCTCTGGTTCAGCGCAGATCTGGGGAGGGATCATAATTAATTGCTTACAGGCAGGTTTCTTAACTGCCTGCAGGCTTGGGAATGTAAGCATATGAGAGCATGCCAGCATGTCCCTTCTCTGAGCATCTTTGCTATTCCCATTTGGATTTGTTCAATTACACGGCAAAGTTTTTCTAACCGCCAGCAAGGGAAATTCATCCTGAGATCAGAAAAACAGTAATAGTAACTTGTAGACCTTATTCAGGACTTTGGAGCCTTCAGAGCACTAAACAAATGTTAGCTAATGAATCAAGCTGTGCTGCTTCTCCTGCCCCAGCCCTGGCAATAAATGCTCCAGGATTAGAAACATGCTGACACGTGTGCTGTGAGTGCCTGAGGCTGAGGGCATGGTGGCTCCTGAGCTGCTGCCTTGATGGTGCTGGCGGGTAAAAAAGGATCTTGTTGTCAGCAGAT